CTCCAAAAAAAAAAAAAAAAAAAGTTTCTCAAAATGTGTCACAGACCTAAGTGTAAAACCTAAAACTATAAATTTTAAAACAGTAATAACATTTTTAGAAGAGGATGTTGGAGAATCTTTGCTCTCTTGACTTAGGCAAAGATTTCTTAGCATGTCAAAAGTCTGAATGTTGAAAGAAAAATTAATAAATGAGACTTCAAAATCAAGAACTCTGTCCCTTTAAAAATGGTAGAAAAATTAAAAGCACAGACTAGAAGAAATTATTTGCAAAACATATCAGATGAAGGACTGGTATTCAGATTATATGTAAAGGCTCTTCAACTCAATAAGAAAACAATTTTTTAAAATAGGCAGAAGAGGGCAACGCCTCGGGTCCCCTCCTGCTGTGGGAGGTTTTCTGTCCTCTCAAGAAATCCTGCTTTCAAAAATAACAATAATAATAATAATAAATAAATAAAAATAGGCGGAAGAATGAGTGGTCACTTCACCAAAGAAGGTAAATAACAAATAAGTGGAAAGGTGCTCAACATTATGAGTCATTAGGGAAATGCAGATTAAAGCCACATGACATATTGCTGTGCACCCATGAGAGGGCTTTTAAGAAAACAAACAAAAATCCGGTGGTAATGTGAAATGCTGGTGAGACTGCAGAGCACTGGGCTCTCTCACACATGGTTGGTGGGCATGCAAAAGCTTATAGTCACTTTGGATCACAATTTATTTATTACAGAATTAAACATACACTTACCCAGATGACTTAGCAGCTCACTGCAGCCTCAACTTCCTAGGCTCAGGTGATCCTTCTGCCTCTGCCTCCTGAGTTGTTGGGACTGACTGTAGTTGCGTACCACCACACCCAGCTGATTGACGTTTTAAAATATAAAGCAATAATCCCGCGCCTTTGGGAGGCTGAGGTGAGTGGATTGCCTGAGCCCACGGGTTCGAGACCCACCTGTGCAGCGAGACCTCATCTCTACAATAAATCAAAAAATCAGCCGGGCGTGGTAGCGCATGCCTGTAATTCCAGCTACTTGGAAGGCTGAGGCGGAAGGATCGCCGGAGCCCAGCAGGTCGAGGCTGTGGTGGCCGGGAGTGGCCACTGCACTCCGGTCTGGGTGACAGAGTGAGACTCCAACTCAAAAAAAAAAGAAAATATATATATATATATATATATATATATATAAAAAGCAATTCATTCACTACAGAGTTTTTGAGCAGCTCTTCATGGACAAGAGGTTATTCCTGGTGCTGTGGGCAGAGAACTATGAACCAAAGACTGGTGTGTCTCCACAGGGCTGTCAGAGTTCTGGGGCTAGAGCATAAGAGGTACAGCTATCACATGGGGGACAGAGACAGGTTTCACACTGGAGGGACACAGAGAAGGTTCTCTAGAGCAGGTGACAAGGCTTCAGGAGGGCAAAGTGATCATCCACTGGAGGAGTGGCTCTTCGCAGGGCAGAAATGTGAATGGGCTTTCTGTCATACAGTTGAAGAGAGAATTAGTGAACTGGAAGAGAAATCAGAAGTTACCCTGAGTGCATGGTAACAACAAGATGGATGCTGGGCAGGATTAAGGAGCCACAGAAGGCAGAGAGAGAAGCTCTAGTACATGGTGTGTGAGTGCTGGACAGAGAGGAGGTTGGGCAGAGACAATATATTGAAGGTATAGGGAGTTTCTAGAACTTACTAATGATACTCATCCATCTATGCAAAAAGCCTGACCCGTCAAGGATGATAAAAAGGAATCGACACCTACAGAATGCCAGTGACAAAGAGTTCTTAAAAGCAGCCAGTGGAAGAAGACAGACTGACTTAAGAGGCACTGTAGTGTAGCTCCTACCTAGTAGCAGCAGTGAGGCCAGGAGCCAGTGGGGTGCTCTCTTCATTACAGTGGAAGAAAATCACAGCAAGCCCTAGTGCTCTGTCTTTTGAAAATATCTGAAGGAGTGAGGGCAAAATAAGGACATTTTCAAATAAAAACTGAGAGAAGTGATTATTGGTGGGTGGATCCTCACTAAATGATGTGCTTTAAGCAGAAGGAGGGTGTGTCCAGCTGGGTGGTCCAAGAAACCAGAGGATGGTTGTGCAAAGGAAATGATAACTATGTGAACTAATATCGATGAAAATTGACTTTATAAACAACTATACCTCACTGAGAGACTAGAAAAGATAAAATTGGTATAAACAGTAATGTGTGAGTTGGAAAAGGAGTGTGTTGGAAGATGCTAACATCTCTTTATTGTTCAGGAAGAGTATGAATTTTTTAGACTTTGGTAAGTATCCATGATATAAGTTTTATCTATTTATTTATTTATTTTTTTGAGTTGGAATCTCACTCTGTCGCCCAGGCTGGAGTGCAGTGGCACGCTCATGGCCACCACAGTTCAGGTGATCCTTCCGCCTCAGCCTTCCAAGTAGCTGGAACCACAGGCATGCGCCACTATGCCTGGCTAGTTTTTTTATTTATTGTAGAGATGAGGGCTCACCAAGTTGCCCAGGCTGGTCTCGAACCCGTGGGCTCAGGCATTCCTCTCACCACGGCCTCCCAAAGTGCTGGGATTATAGGCATGAGCCACCGCACCCCGCCCCATGATACAATTTTTAGATGAGCCACCAAACAATAAAAATAGAATGTACAGCTTCCAGACTTTGGTGGAAAGAAATTGGATGAGAAAAAAATAATCTGAAGGACGTCAAGAAAGGAGATTAAAGGAAACAATATAGCTGGTTTGAATAGAAATCTCAGAATTGCATGCTAGATTTAAATCTGAATATATAAGCAATTAAATGTAAAAAGATCAAAACAAACTAAATTGGTCCAGGAAAATATAGTGCATGCCTGAACCAAGGGAGAGAACAGTGGTAAGTGACACAGTGAAGGGACATTTCAGAGGTGGTGTTAATAGGATTTACCTTCTGGTTGGTTTGTGAGGCGAGGGAAGGGTGGAGGGGCAGGGCGGGGCAGGGTTTGAGCTGGCCGCTCTGGCTCTGCTGTACCTGCCCACTGACTAGAAGGTGAGATGTGTGAGGCCATCAGGCTGCTCTGAATCTCAGACAAGATGAAGTTAAGATGCCACAAGACCTTGAGCACATGGCAAGAGAGTCAGCGATAGCTTCTGTGCAGTTTGGGTACAGTGGTGGAGAGTTAGGAGCGGGGACTGTATGTGTGGGGCAAGCAAGGACAGCTTGAGGATGGGCACGGGAGTCATAACATTCCCTAGGACCAGAAGGTCTTGGAGTGAAGAGAGGGGTGGGCCGGCCTTCAGCATGTGCACAGGCACACTGCCCTCTGAAGCTGGCATTGCTCTCTGGGGGTAACATGCCACTGTGCCTGCTTGTGAAGTTAGCCAGGACACCAGTCTCTCCCAGGATTTTTGATGCTGGAAGGGAAGAAAGGGAGGAGAGAGAGGGCCTTCAGGATGCACCTCAGAGCTGAAGTTTTGAATCCCAGACAACTTCCCAGAAAAGCCAGCCCAGAATTGACCAGGGCCAGCAGCCTAGCATGGAAGGCTGGAGACGTAGCAGAAGCTTATCAGGACCACCTGAGGAGAGGCACAGAGTCAATAGGGCTGTAATGGACCCATGCTGGGACTTAACTCTGCACTCTGCGTTTGGACAACTCGGCCTTCCTGGAGTCTTTTGTGTTCACACTGAGGCCAGGCCTTATTACAGTAAAGTATTAATTAATTAATATCTTTTGTTTTAAACCTTGCAATTTGAAATCCAGTTCTTTAAATTTTGACCTAATGGGGAATCTGAGAGTATAGATTATTACCCATATTCCTGTTCGTGTTCCTTAAGGGAAAAATTTGGAACAAACTGGTAAGGCCCATAATCAGTTATGCCAGGCATCCCTGGGTCTCTCATGGTCCTCTGGGCTGAGCATCCTTGGTCCTCCTGGCAACTGCCTGCACAGGACTTCTGTGAGTGCCTTTTGGCTTGAAGCTATGAACAAAAAAGCTCTTGGTTGTTCCTTTCTGCTCTTTTCCCAGGAACAATTATTTGCACGAATGTGGTCTAGTCAGAGGTTTTTCCAATAGTGCCGTCAGAAATGGTTTAATACATAAACTTTGAAGCAAACATACTGTTTGGATGGATGGGTCATCTTTGTATTCAAGGCACTTTAAAAATGTAAGAGAATTAAATGTAGTTAGATGGTCTGTTCCCACTCATTTCCAATTATGAGCTGGCAGATTTGCTGAGGACTCCCATGCAGGATCACTGAACTGCATGTTAAGAGGTGCTGGGGGCACAAAAGAAAGGTTGGCGAGGGGCTTTCAAAGGAGTCCTGAGGTTGGGCGAGGAGTGCATGCGAGTGGCCAGTCCCTGGGCCTTTCCAGACCGCATAAACAGCACCCGGCATCTATGACTTCATCTGTCCCACAGAGGAAGATAGCCAGGTGCAATAAGGTGACAGATTTCCCTTCCCAAAAAATCTCTCATCAAACTGTACATTATAAACAGTGGTGTCATCTAGTAATAGTGTTAAAATTGGGGCTTATCACTTTCCCAGGGAGCAATTTGCTTCCGGTGCCAAGGGCAAGCTTTTATGCCCCTTCAGCATATGTAGCAAAAGTTGTAGGATGTAAGATTTGAATAAAGGCTTCAAAATAGTTTTCTTCACTGTCTAGTTCTCAGAATGCCTACTTGAAAAATTGAAATAGAAAGCCTAGGCAGCCTTTTCCTGTAAGTCAGCCTTTTCCTCTGATTCTTAACCAGAGTGCAAAAGCATCCATGATCATATCTAAGAAACTTCTCTTTTTGCATGGTTTTTCTGATACTTCCATTTTATGTTGGTGGCTACTTTTTTTGTTTCTGTTTTTGCATGGGCAGTTTACTGAATGAAACATAACCACAAGAAAGCCTTCACAGACATTCTTGAAGTTTATATAATCAAAATCCCCAACAGTTTCACAAGGACAAATAGTTGCTAATAGTAAACGATCTTGGGCAAGTTTTAAAACTTTAGAGACAAACTCACTTCCAATAACCTAACCTTAGCATTGAAAATAGAAACAGAGCTGGGCTCGGTGGCTCAGCCTGTAACCCCCACACTTTGGGAGGCCGAGGTTAGCGGATTTCCTGCGGGTTTGAAACCCGCCTGGGCAAGTTGGTGAGGCCTCATCTCTACAATAAATCAAAAAATTAGCCAGGCGTGGTAGCGCACGCCTGTAGTTCCATCTACTTGGAAGGCTGAGGCGGATGGATCGTCGGAGCCCAGCAGGTCGAGGCTGCGGTGCCCGGGAGCAGCCACTGCACTTCAGTCTGGGCGACAGAGTGAGACTCCAATTCAAAAAAAAGAAAATAGAAACAATTGGACTCCTCAGACACCAAAGAAAACCTTTCATTTCCCTCCCAGGTGGAAATCCTTTTCTCCCCACTCCTGGTAGAAAAGCGTGAGCAAGGCAGACACAATGAGAAGGGCCTTCTAGTCGCTGCTCAGAATGGAGCTTGGCTCCTTCTGCCCCCTCCGTGCCTCCTGTCAGGAAGGTTTGCACATGTCTGGATTCTACACAGAGTAGGGGCCTAGCCCCTTCCCACCTCCACTAGCCACCAGCTATGCAGGACCAGTGACCTGGCTGGAGGGAGCGGAGGTGCTGGCCACAGGAGAGAGAGGCTGTAGGTAGCCCTGAAAGGACAAGGGATGAAAGCGAAAGTGGAGTCCTCAAGAAGCATGAGGAAGCGTGGCTGTGCTCATGCATCTATAGGGTGACGGCCTACACTGAGCTTTTCTTGTGGCCCCATGTTGGGCACAGAGATGATGCCACTTGGGGTGTGGTGAAGTTGTTCCATAGGCTCTTGACTTCTCTACCGAAAGGAATTTCAGAGAAGTATAGGCACCCAAAGGTTCTAAGGTTCTTTTCAGGAAACTGAGAATGGAAGTTGGTTGTTTTGCAAAGAGCATTCCAGTGGAACTTGATGGTGGGGGTTGTTGTAGCCATGGCGGTTAGCTGTTCAGAATGCCAGTGACCTGAGTTTCAGGTAATCCGTCATGTAGACAGGGAGACTGGGCCAGGGTCTGTAAGACAAATTCCTAAAACACAAATGTTAACTTTGGTGTCCTTTAATCTAGGGAACCAAAGGTACAGTGAAACTTAGTTGGGGGTTCTGGTTTGCTCTTGAAACATAAGTAGTTATTCTTAAGATTAGTCACCCGTGGTGGAGTATAATTAGTCAAGCACATGGGAAAAGTTGAGCCACAGTTGTATCAGGAGAAATTGAGCTGTGTTTCTGTTGGGTTTGTTTTAGAATGACTATAGTAACTTCATCTTGATTCTGCCCTTTCCATTATAGTCTGTCAACCACAAGTTTATTTCTTATTATCTACTTCTAAGCTTGCTTGCATTATGTGAAAGTCTTGGGATAATGGTAAAAGTTACTGTTGTATGGTTTATTTTTCTTCCCCCTGTGCCTCTGATAATTCCCTTATTACTTTGCTTATGACTTCTGTAGCAGCGTGTACCAGCCACACTGCATTCTGAGGTTGGGTTTGGGTGCCTGGTTGGAGCAGTGATTGTTCTAGAGGGTTCTGTCCTGATGAGATGGTGCCTAGCCAGCAGCCTGACCATCTTGCTTTTTAGTTGTCTCATCTGTGCCTACCTGCAGGAAACACATCTCCTCCCTGTGTCTAAGACTGAAACCGAGAGTTAGCTTCACTCCTTTGTTCTGGAGTTTGGTGCCCTTTCACTCCCTGCTCTGAGTGTGAGAAGCCCTGGGGTATGGTGGCGACAATTGGACACATTCTTCTGTTTGCCTTTTCTAGACGCCCGGAGGCTCTACTCCTGCCCAGGTGGTTCACACCCAGTCCCAGCCGCGAGCAGTGGGTTCCCCGGCCTCTGCCACTACTGACCTTGTGTCCATGGCAACAACTCAGGGTGTTCGAGCAGTCACTTCTGTGACTGCCTCCGCTGTGGTCACTACCAACCTGACTCCAGTGCAGACCCCGGCACGGTCTTTGGTGCCCCAAGTGTCCCAAGGTAAGGGCAGGCCTGGTGCTCTCTCTGTCCCATGTCTGCTGCTGGAGCGGATCATAGCTTCAGCCTCCGTCTGAGGAGAAATGGGGACTGGAAGGGGGGCACATGTCCTTGTCGTGACCTGACGAACTAACCCCTTTGCAGCCACGGGTGTTCAACTCCCTGGAAAAACCATCACCCCCGCACACTTCCAGCTTCTCAGGCAGCAGCAGCAGCAACAGCAGCAGCAGCAGCAGGCCTCCCAGGTGCAAGGGCCTCCGACCCAGGGCCAGGCCCCACCCCCTGCGCAGATCAAAGCTGTGGGCAAACTGACACCGGTGAGCACCTCGTGGAGGCCTGCGTCTGTCTCAGGGCGGGCGCTCGGCCGGGGTGTCGCGTTGGAGCGTAGCTCTCATGTAGGAGGCTTGTCTGTGTGTGGAGGCCGCTCCATTCATAGCACTTGGAGCCTGCAGGTGACGAGCGTCGCGCGCTTGTTCCCAGCACAGGGACCTCATTCCCTGTTCCCAGTTCACCTTTTCGCCAGCAGCTCCGTCTCCAGGGGACCCAGGGCCACGTTCTGTACCAGATGAGATACTGGCAGGATAGCATGTCTCAGCCATTCGGTACCAAGTGGTAGCAAAGTGGCTTCTTGAGGAAGAGTTCAGCTGCAGTATTGCTTCTCAGATGTTGACCATTTGAGGACCGATGTACCTGATTTTTGCCAATCTGTTTACCAGCTTTGCTGTTATTTATATAAATATATTCATTTTTAAAGGAAATGGTACATTCCTGCCACAAATCTTTAGAACTGGTCATAGAAAGTAACCAGAAGATCACATGGGCTAAAGAAGGAAGGTCCAGACTGCTGTTGGGACTGCCGGCGTGCCTGGGTCTGGGTCTCTCCTGGGCAGAAAGGCAGAAAGGCACAGCGAGCAGGCGACTGAAATGAGGCTGAGCCGAGACCCCTCTGGGGGTGTTGGGAGGCAGCCTCCCAAGGGACTTTGAAACTGGGTGAGAGTTGTGCTGCCTGGGATGCCCGCTGGGCGGTGCTGGCAGTACAGTTGAAAGTTCTGCTCTTCCGTCACCCCAGCACTTCTCGTGAGTTCAGTGGTGACATGTAGCTGTGGCCACTACCCTGGACAGTCCCTGTCTAGGCCATCCCTCTCCTGCAGAGGCTCCACTGGACAGTGCTGAACTCAAGTGTTTTCGTACCTGAGAATCCCTGGGCCCAGCAGAGCCTGACTGCCCTGTAGACATCCCCACCCACACAGGTGCCTCCTTTTCTTCCCGGGTCCAACCACCACGAAGCGCCAGTATCTTCACACACCGTTTCTCACCCTACTTCAGCGGGCTCCTGTGTTCCTTGCTCTGCCCTCTTCTTCTTCTTCTTCTTCTTGAGTTGGGAGTCTCACTCTGTCGCCCAGGCTGGAGTGCAGTGGCACGATCAGCAGCCTTGACCTTCTGGGCTCTGGTGATCCTTCCACCTCAGCCATCCAGGTAGCTGGGACTACAGGCACTCGCCACCATGCTTGGCTAATTTTATCATCGTTGTTGGAGAGACAAGGTCTTGCCACGTTGCCCAGGCTGGTCTTAAACCCCTGGGCCCAGGCAGTCCTCTCGCCTCGGCTGTCCTCTCGCTTCAGCCTCCCAAAGTGCTGGGATAACAGGCATGAGCCACCGTGCCCAGCCTCTACCTTCTCCTAGTCAGCATCAAAGTAAGTTTCATTTCCAGCATGTCAAAAGAGATGTCACAGTCATGAACAACTCAGTGTAAGTTTTCCTAAAAAACAAAAACCATGTATTTCTTAAAATAGTTTTGAACTAGTGCCCTGATATCTTGATGTTTTCACTTTTTTTTTCTTTTTGAGTCAGAGTTGACTGTTGCCTAGGCTTGAGTTTAGTGGCACACTCACAGCCACTATAGCCTTGATTCTTCTTCCTCAGCCTTCCAAGTAGCAGGAACTACAGGCGCATTCCACTATGCCCGACTAATTTTTTGATTTATTGTAGAGACAAAGTCTCACCCAGTTGCCCAGGCTGGTCTCAAACCTGGGCTCAGGTGATCCTCTCGCCTCTGCCTCCCAAAGTGATGGGATGACAGGTGTGAGCCACTGTGCCTGGCCTGATGCTTTCACTTTTAAAGACAGGGAATTTATTAATAAATAAGTTATTAATTGCTTGTTACTCATTAACTTATTTACTAACAAATAAACGTGTTGGCACTGCAGGTTTAATTGGCTTGTTTGGGAGAGATAAGAGCCTAGAAACTTCGCTGTGAACTTGCCTGTCAGAATCACTTTCTCTTTTTCTTCCATGAAATACTAACTTTAAATAAATGGGCGCATAAAAGCGGTGGTCAGGCCCTGAAGGGTGGTTGTGTCCTGTGTGTTAGCAAGTGTGGACTTGGGTGTTTGTGAGTAGAGGAATGGCTGGCTTAAGGACAGGCACGACTGGCGCTGAGGGGCGGAGTCTCTGTCTGGTTTCAGGAGCACCTCATCAAGATGCAGAAGCAGAAGCTGCAGCTGCCCCCACAGCCCCCGCCGCAAGCCCAGCCGGGGCCCCCGCAGCCAGCAGCACAGGTGCAGGTGCCGCCCCCGCAGACCCCGCAGCAGCAGAGCCCCCAGCTCACCACCGTCACCGCCCCGAGGCCTGGAGCCCTGCTCACAGGCACTACCGTGGCCAACCTCCAGGTGGCCCGGCTGGTGAGTTTCAGTGTTGCACGTTTGTTTTCCGTGAGCATGGGCAGTGTCCTCTTACGTTATAGCTGAACCGCTCCTGCTGGCTCCGAGCTTTTGGGGATTACGGTAGAGTAAACATGAGATGTGGTCTTCCCCTGAGAACCTGAGTTCCCCTTGGAGAGCACGAGACTAAGCACATGTGGAGCCCCAAAGCTGATGCAGGCACCACCGAGCATCTCAGGCTGGATGTTTGTGGGCAAGGAGTGAGCAAAGGAGTGACAAGGGGGTGAGGCAGAGCATGTGAGGTATGTGTGCTGCTGTGGAGCCTGCTAGGGGCCGGGGCCAGTGTGGCAGCCTGACACTGGCTCACAGGTACCCGCTCTGAGCACAAAGTGCAGTTGGAGGTTTTCGGAGGGAATGATGCAAGATGCAAGCTGGGTCTGGGAAGATGAGTGTTCGGCAGCGTCAGCATCCTGTGGGCACCGTCCCAGCAGGGCAGCTAGATCCCAGCATGGGGGAGCTGTCTGTCAGGGTGCTGGTGACAGGTTCTGCGTCTGTCACCTGGGCCAGGGCTCACGGGCCACCCCAAGGCTGGGATAGGCATTTTACTGTTAACTCAGTTTTGCAGGTAGAGAAACTGGGGCACACAGGCTAAGAACCTGCCCAAATCCTACAACCAGTAAACTACAGCTTAAGCTGGGACTGGGGAGCCAGGAGCTCAAGCTCAGCTGGGTAGGTGGGAGGGGCCACCCTCTACCAGGCCGGGAGCAGAAGTGGGTGAACAGCCGCAGAACATAGTTCGGTTTCACCTGTGTCCACAGAACGCAAATTCAGATAAGAAGAGTGGTTGCTGGACAGAAATCAGCACCCTGCATTGGAGAGGGCTTGGTAACATGCACGCTGTTTAACTCAACAATTCTATTTATTATATCCTAAAGAAACAACAGCCGGGCTCAGTGGCTCAGCCTGTAATCCCACGCCTTTGGGAGGCTGAGGTGAGTGGATTGCTTGAGCCCGCGGGTTCGAGACCCGCCTGGGCAGCGAGACCTCATCTCTACAATAAATAAAAAAAAATCAGCCAGGCGTGGTAGCGCATGCCTGTAATTCCAGCTACTCGGAAGGCTGAGGCGGAAGGATCACTGGAGCCTAGCAGGCGAAGCTGTGGTGGCCGGAAGCGGCCTCTGCACTCCAGTCTGGGTGACTGAGTGAGACTCCAACTCAAAAAAAAAAAAAAAAAAAGAAAAAGAAACAAAAGACCATTTCCAAAGCGATGACTGTACAAGCTTGTTTGTTTTAGAAATGTTAGAGGAAATAAAGTGCCCATTACTAAGAAGTTCATTACAGAAACTATGTAGTGTGTTCAAGAAGTGATTATTGGAAGTGATTACTGTAAAGGAAAGAGAAACAGATGATAAAATATGCATAATTCACTCATTTTTACATGCTTTCATAACAAGCCACACAGATGTGAACCGTGGCCAAAGACTAAATACCAATTTTAACATTCCCATACGGGTAGTTCAAGGAGGATGGGTGATTTTTACCATCTTTGTTTTCTCAGGTACTCTCAGTTTCTGTGCATATAGAAATGAACCTATTTCCACTTTCCTTTTTACAAGTGTAATTTAAGAAAAAAGTGCTTGGTAGCAGGGTCACTGATAGCAGGAGAAGGTGGCATCCCTGACGGATTTGAGGCGGGTGCTTGCAGTTTGGACTGAGGCACCGGGCTGTCCTTTTGGACTGCAAGAGTAGGGAGTGAGGCCTCTGTAGGAAACAGGGCAGGGTTTGGCTGCTGGCAGGTTCAGCAGAGGCGGGGGACTGGAGATGTGCGGCATGGGCACCCCAGCCACAGGGGACTGAGCCTGGGGTTTGCCTTGCGGTGTGTGGGTCAGCGGCGCTCTAGGAGCGCTGGCAGCACTGTGGCTCAGTGCCCTGGGGAATGCAGGTCACTCAGTTTTCCTTCAGTGCCATGGCGCTTCTGAGTGTCCTCATGGCTTGACATTTTGTAACAAAATGTTTAGAAGGACACAACATCCTGAATTTCTCTGGACTCTCCCATTATTTCTGCTGTTTAGACCCGGGTTCCCACTTCTCAGCTGCAGGCGCAAGGGCAGATGCAAACCCAGACACCCCAACCGGCTCAGGTGGCCTTGGCGAAGCCTCCGGTGGTATCCGTGCCAGCGGCTGTGGTCTCCTCACCAGGGGTCACCACCCTGCCCATGAACGTCGCGGGGATCAGCGTGGCCATCGGGCAGCCGCAGAAAGCAGCAGGTGCCGCCTCCGCACCCCCTCCCCTCTGTGCTCGAGCATGGTGTTCTGAGCCTGTCCGGGAAAGTGGTCCCGGTTCTGCTGTGTCCTCTACTTTGCACCATTTCATGTGCGGCAGCATGTATTTTAGTATAAATGCCGCTCGGGGGTTTCAACTGAACTGTTAGCATTCTAGCATTTCTGCCGGGCATAGTGGCTCAAGCCTGTCATCCCAGCACTTTGGGACGCCAAGGCAACTTGGTGAGACCTCATCTCTACAATAAATCAAAAAATTAGCTGGATGTGGTGGCGTGTGCTTGTAGTTCTAGCTACTTGGAAGGCTGAGGTGGAAAGATTGCCTGAGCCCAGCAGGTCGAGGCTGCAATGGCCGTGAGTGTGCCACTGCACTCCAGCCTGGGTGACAGAGTGACACTCCAACTCAAAAAAAAAATTCTGACATTTTCACATCTTTATTGAAATGTAACTTGATTTAAAAGAACCCAGAAATGTGTTGAGTGTGTTTAAGGGCTGGCTTGTTTGTCTCAGCACAGCTTCACACACAGTTAGTCACACTATCCTTTTCCCGACATAGACCTGGTAGCTTATGGGTTATTTGGTGTCTGCAGGACAGACTGTGGTGGCCCAGCCCGTGCATGTGCAGCAGTTGCTGAAGCTTAAGCAGCAGGCCGTCCAGCAGCAGAAGGCCATCCAGCCTCAGGTCGCCCAAAGCCAGACCACCGTCCAGCAGAAGGTACTGGGGTCCCCGGGGGTGACTCTTCTGTCAAGGTGTCTCTGTGCAAACCTGGGCCTGCCTGTCAGGACTGGCTCCTAGGCAGATCTGTAAACCTCACACGAGTGTGGCCTTCTGATTGTGCACACTGCACATCACCTGGAAATTAGAATTCACTTCCAAAAATTAGGCATTCAGGTTTGTTATCTCTCATACTAAGTATTTTCTTAGTGTCTGCAAATTCTTAAGTTGGACATGAGAAGTTGTGATCAAATTGGTTCACCTGATGAGTCCATCCACCCAGGTGCTACAGAGGGCTTCAGAGTCAATCACACCAGATGATTCTCAGCAGAGAGGAAGAGAGACATGCCCCTCTCTGAGTGGGGTGGGGGATGCAGGTGCCAGCCGAGACCTCTTGGGGGAGAGGGGTGGCCAAGGGCTGAGGTCAGCCTGGAGGAAGAGGCAGGACAGGGCAGAGGGCAGGTGGCGTGAGCACCTCTGTGGGTGCCATGGGTGTCTGTGTGGGAGACATGTTGTGAAGGTGTGGGGTCCTGAGGGGCAGAGGGTGACTGGGGGTTTAGAGGGGGCATTGTTCTTCCCCCTCTCCTTTCCTTAGATAACAGCACAGCAGATTGCTGCCCAGGGCCCTCAGCAGAAGGTCACCTATGCCGCCCAGCCAGCCCTTAAGACCCAGTTTCTCACCACGCCCATCTCCCAGGCCCAGAAACTGGCTGGGACCCAGCAAGTGCAGACCCAGATCCAGGTGAGCAGGCGCAGCAGGGTGAGCGGAGTGCAGGTGTCATGCTGCAGATGCACACGGGGCGGGAGGGTAAGGTCCACAGGATGGCGGTCATGAGACTGAGGAAGACCTCTGTGCCTGTCTCCTCGCACCCCCCCCACGGCCTTGTCACAGCATGTCACTGGTGGCAGGTTGAAGTCTAGAGTTGCCTTTGCCTGGACGTATTTGGGGCTCCCCCAGGATGGCACACACCATGTGCTGTGGGGGCATGTCCTCACACCCTCTCTGGGTGTTCGTGCAAGTGTCTGAGGAGTGAGGAGTGATACTGCCTGACAGGTGGTCTGCTCATCACATGGCATCCTCACCTGCTGCATGGGCCTCCTGGGTTCAGGCCTTTGTCATGCTCTCCTGTTCAGTGCACAAGAGGAAAGCGGGCTCTCCCCAGTGTTGGTCTGTTTCTCCATCTTCTCCCCATTCAGCTTGTCCAGGCTCCGGTTCTGTCATGGGCCTGTTTGAGGTTGTGGCTGGCTCTCTTTCACACCCTGGGTATTTGGCCTCACTTCCATGGGTGGCAGCCGGTGTCTCCAAGTCACGGCTCATCTTCCCCTCGATGTGTCTTTTGATGAATGGAAGTTTGTAATTTCCGTATATGGAATGAGTCCCCTTTTCGTTTTTGGGTAGAGCTTGTTGTGCCTTGCTAAAGAAATCTCCCCAGAGGCTATGGCGTTATCTTCCTGTATCTTTTTCTAAAACCTTTTTAATTGTGCCTTCTCATTTAGGTCTTTAATTCTCCTAGAATTGATTTTTACGTATGATATGAAGACGGGAATTCAGTTTAACTTTCCATGTGAATACCCTGTTATTTCCAACCTCCCTTTTTAAAAAGCCCATTTTTTCCCTCCCTGACCCATGGTGCCCCTCCCCGCCCTCCCTCCTGAGCTGTGTGGGGCTCCCTGCCAGCCCTACTGTCTCCACGTCCCTGCTGGTCCCAGCTGTGCTGTCTCATGGCTCTGGCCATGAGACTTGGTACATGGAGGGCAGATCCTTCCACCACGCCCTTCCTCAGGAGTGGGCTGGCTGCTCTGGGCTCTCTGCCTTCCTTACTGGTTTTAGGGTCAGCTTGTTTGGTTTACTACTATAATCAAGATGCTGGAGTTTTTGGTAGAATTGCATTAATTCTACAGACCAGTTTTGGGAGAGTTGACATCTTTACAGTCTTGGCTTCAGGTTCACCAACATGATATGTTTTTCATTATTTAAGTCTTCTTTAATGCCTTTTAATTAAGTTTTCTGATTTTTTTAATGAAAAGTCTTAGATTGTGTTATATTCTTAAGTAATCAGTATTTTCTGATGCTTTTGTAAAAAGAAAGTTTACGTGTCACTTTTTTTGTTTGTTTGTTTTGTTTTGAGTTGGAGTCTCACTCCATCACCCAGGCTGGACTCACAGCCACCCCAGCGTCAACCTGCTAGACTCAGGCAATCCTTCTGCCTCAGCCTTCCAAGTAGCCAGAACTACAGGCACACGCTACCACGCCCAGCTAAGTTTTTGTTTTATTGTAGAGCAAGTCTCTCCAAATGACCCAGGCCAGTCTCGAAGCCCTGGGCTTAGGTAATCCTCTTGCCTCAGGCTCCCAGTGTGCTGGGATTATAGGCTTGAGCTATCACACCCAACCATGCGTCATTGTTTTAATCACCTTTCATTAGAGTAAGAGAATTCTGTTCTGTTCTAGTTTGCAAGACATGTCTGTTCCCCTTGTCCTAGAGACATGTCTGTTTCTCTGATTGTAGAGCCATGTCTGTTCCTCTTGTCCTAGAGAAGTGTCTGTTCCCCTAGTCCTAGAGACGTGTCTGTTCCCCTAGTCCTAGAGACGTGTCTGTTCCCCTAGTCCTAGAGATGTGTCTGTTCCCCTTGATATAGAGACGATGTCTATTCCCCAGCCCTCGAGACACATCTGTTCCCCTTGTTACAGTACTACAGTACAAACTGTTGTACAAGCCGGCGCAGTGGCTCAAGCCTATAATCCTGGCACTTTGGGAGGTGGAGGTGAGAGGATTGCCTGTGCTCTGGGGTTCGAGACCAGCCTGAGCAACATGGCAAGACCTCGTCTCTACAATAAATAAAAAAATTAGCTGGGCATGGTGGCGCTTGCCTGTGGTTCCAGCTACTCGGAAGGCTGAGGTGGAAGGAGCACCTGAGCTCAGGAGGGCGAGGCTGTGGTGGCTGTGAGCATGCCACTGTACTGTAGCATGGGTGACAGACTGAGACTCCAACTCAAAAAAACCAAAGAAAACAACCATCGTACGCACTCTCTCCCCGGACATCTCCTTCGGCTTTGAGGCTCTGACCCTGTCTGGGTACTGATGGCACCAACTCCACATCTGCAACCTTGCTGACCTCACCTCCAGCTCTGTTGTCCTCGCTGCTTCTGACAGTCAGGAGCTGCCTGCTCCCTCAGGCACCTCAGCCCCGGGTGTGCAGCCCTGAACTACTTATTGCAGAGGCTGCCAGTTCGTGAAGATCAGCTGAGTCTGCAGACCTTGGGCCTTACTTGGGAAACCCCGCAGTTATGTGTGCATTTCTGCCCGCTGCCGCTCAGGCCGCCTGCAGTCCTGTAGTTCTGCCTGCCAGAGGGGCTCCTCTGCTCCTCCGCCTCTCGTTTCTGTGTTTGTTGCTACCCACACCTTGGTGAGCTCTGCACCTCGCGGCCGCGCACGCCGGCTAGGTCCCGCGGCAGTGTCTCCCACAGAGTCCTCCCACAGCGAGCCCTCGCTCCTGCGCAGCCTTCTGGCCCAGGGCCCCTCCCAGCCTTGCTCAGTGCCCCTCCTTGGGAAGGTTCTAGACTGTCCTTTCAGCCCAGTGTCCTGTCTGCCTTTCCTGCTCTCTTTGCTTCCATCGTCTCACCTTCAACAAACACCGTATAAATTACTTGTTCTTCTCAGGTATTTCTATCACGTCCTCCCATAAAGCAAGTCCTATGGGCACAAGGGGGCTTGAAGGCCATTAGGACAGTGGTAGGTAGGCTGTGAAGTTATCGGATGTTCTCCTCAGATGTGCTTATATAGCGGATCATATTAACAGACTTCACATGATAAGTTATCTTTGCTTTCTGGGGCAACTCAGCGGATCCTGTGGGATCCTGTAGCCCTTGTCTTTCTTGTACACTGGTGAGTTTTGTTTGCTGGTGTTTTTTGTCTGTTTCCATGATGGCTTCTGGGCAATATAGGCTCTCGTGGTCCTTTCTTATACTTCTCTCATCAGAGCATTTGTTTTTTGTTCTTTTTGTCATGGGGGTTTCTCGATGTCACCCAGGCTGATCTTGAAATCCTGAGCTCAAGCAATTCTCCCATCTTGGCCTCCCCAGTAGCTGGAACTCCAGGCATACACTGCTGTGGCCAACTTTTGTCAGGGTTTTTACTTCTTCCTTTTGGTTTCTTTCAAGTTGATTTTGCTAGTCTTTTTCTTTTCTTTTCTTTTTTTTTGAGTTGGAGTCTCACTCTGTCGCCCAGACTGGAGTGCAGTGGCCTCTCCCGGCCACTGCGGCCTCAACCTGCTGGGCTCCGGCGATCCTTCCGCCTCAGCCTTCCAAGTAGCCAGAATTACAGGCACGCGCTACCACGCCTGGCTGATTTTTTGATTTATTGTAGAGATGAGGTCTCGCCAAGTTGCCCAGGCAGGTCTCGAACCCGCAGGCTTAGGCCATCCACTCACCTCAGCCTCCCAAAGCACGGGATGACAGGCTAAGCCACCGAGCCCGGCTGCTTGTCTTTTTCTTATCTTGTTGAGATGAAGCATTACTTGAGCTCATTTAGCATATTTATCATTTGATTTTCCTTCAGCTCTTAATATGTCTAAATTTCCATTTTGATTTCTTTGCTGCCTGGGTTCATTTTAGAAATGTTTTTAAACTTCCATGTAAGATTTTCTAGTTATCTTTTATTATGGACTTTTCAAAAATCTTCATTGTATTGTTGTCAGAGAATGAGGTCTGAATGGTTTCAATCTTAGACACTTGCCATGTGGTCCAAAATATGATCGGTTTTTAGAAAGGTTTTGTTTCTTTCCAAAGCAGTTTTTAGTGTGGATGCAGTTTATGAGACCACTTTGTCATGGCTGAGTCGAGTTCGCTATTTGTGTTATTTCAGTCTTCCATGTTCTAACCAATTTACTTGTTTTAATCCCTGAGAGATTAAATCTCCCCTCCAATTATGCATTTGTTTCTCCTTAAATTTCCAGTTTTACTGTGTGTTTCAGAAGGCTTCCTGGCAGTCTCCTAGGCATTTACGCTTTGTTGCTTTGAAGTGACGCTTGGTGCCCTTAGTGATACCCTTGGCCTTGGAGCCTGTTCTGCCTCACGTCCTCTCCTCCTCTCACTTTCCACTATTCTGTCCATGCTCCACGTTCACCTCTGGGAGACAGCACACTGCAGGCTTGCCGCCACACTGCGTCCCTCGGGGTGAGCTTCTCTCCCAAGACATCGGAACTCTGGTCTCCAGGCAGTGCTGCCGTGTCTGGTCTGACCTCAGGCGTCCTGCTTGTTATTTTTCCTTTCTCGCCTTCTCTTCTGTTCTTGCCCTCCTGCTCTGGCCCCTCTCCTAGCTGGACAGTCACATGCTCCGGGTCTGCTCTCAGGTGGGCCCGGCACATCCTGCATCCACTCCCTTCAGCACCCGTCGAGCCAGTAAGCCTCCCGACTCTCGGCAGTTGTCTCATCACAGGCAGCTCCATTTGCCTGTCTCCGACGTGGCTCCCGCCCCACCTCCTAACTCTGTCCTTCTTTGTCCTTGACTTTCCTTGTGAGATGCCTTCTCTTCCACTCGACCATCCTTTGGAGTTTCCTTTCGTGTTTGAAAATGCCTGTGTTCCACTCTCATTCCTGAAAGGTCATCCTTCTCTGTACAGAGTTCTAGCTTGACGCTCGCTCTTAGTGCATTGACATCATCCTGGCTCCTGACTTCTCTTGCCATCAGTGAGGAGCACGTGTCGTCAGCATGTGCGGTGGTCCTCTGCCTTTTCTCTCCGCTGCCTCTGGAGACCTTGTCTTTGGTGCTGTGCAGTTTCACCGTGACACCGTAGCTCAGGGTTGGCCAATGTCCTCGAGCCCGGGCCGATCGCTCTCTGGTGCAGGGACTGCCTGGTCCCTGTTTGCTCAGAGGCTGTCTCTGCCCCGCCTCCTCTGCTTTTACCACATCTTTTATATTTTGTCTCCTCATCTCACTGAGCTGCATTCTCAGTCATACCATCCGCCCTCTTTCCTAATTCACTCATTCTCCCCTTGGTTAGGCCTTATCTGCTCCTAAGCTTGTCCATTGAATTTTAGTCTTGATTATTACGTTTTTATTTTTAGACGGTCCTGAATGTGCCTGCTTTTTGCTTATAGTTTCTGGTTTTTAGCCTTTGCAGAGGGAGCCTGGTGATTCCTCTGTGTTAAGCATTGCTGCAGCTATTTCGTTTGCTGCTGTTGGTGAGTTCTGTGGGAATTCTTTGAGGCCTTGAGTCCAAGTGGGGATCTTGCCTTTGCTTGGCTCCTGTGGATGCCCTTAGGAAGGCCACCTGGCAGATCATGTCCAAGTCCATCTGACTATACACCTGTTTCCTCCCCCTACCCTGCTGCTGGGACTTAAGGCAGGTGATTTTCTTACAGACCCCTTTGGAGGAAGGGGTCCTTCTTGGCAGCTCTTGGGTACCTTTGTGGTCACAGTGTCTCCTTGCAGATGGCAGCTAGGGGCGGTGTAGGCTCTGGCCAGCTCCTCACTCTGAGGGGGACCTGGTGTCCTGCCCATTCTGCCCTGTGAGACCCTGGAGACCACAGTGCAAGTCTCCTGCGTGCACAAGCTTCCCTGCTCGTAGCTTGCAGTTCCGTCTTTGCTTGAGTTTTAGAACTGGCAGGCCCTACTCCTTTGCAAGTTCATCGATGCATTTAAGATGTCTTCTTAGCATCCTGTGGAAGATGCCTCCGCTCCTCTGGTGGCGTGCTGATGTCGTTCTGGCTCACTGTGGTCCTGAAGCGGACCCTGCCATTGCCGGCCATGTCTTCATCTCCCATCCTTTCTGTGGTGGCACCACCAAGGGCACTTCTCAGCGAGTCCTGTTCACAGGCTTTTGTTTCAAGTGACAGTAAACTAGTAGACATGCTCTGATTGATTTCAATTTTAATAACGAAGACTGGGCTGGGTACGGTGGCTCAGCCTGTAATCCCAGCACTTTGGGAGGCCGAGGTGAGGGTTGCCTGAGCTCAGGGGTTGGAGACCAGCCTGGAAAATTTGGTGAGACCTCGTCTCTACAATAAATCACAAAATTCAGCCGGGCGTGATGGCACATGCCTGTAGTTCCAGCTACTTGGAAGGCTGAGGCAGAAGGATCGCCTGAGCCCAGCAGATCAAGGCTGTCGGCTCCATGAACGTGGCACTGTACTTTTGCCTGGGTGACAGAGTGAGACTTAACCCCCTCCCCCCCAAAAATGATAATGAAAACTAACATTTATTATGTTTACACCATTTATTATGTTTACACCTTCCCTAGGAATTCTTGGACAGCACTTATTTTCATACCTGTTCTATAACCAGGCTGTTCAGGGGCCAGGTTTCACAGAGCCTTGTGTAGGACCCTTGAACCCAGGGTATCCAGCCGCCACCCACATAGGAGCCTACTCTGCACCCTGAGCCCGCATGCCTGACCACATTGATTAGACACACAATTGGCCAAATCCTCTTACTGCATCACGGCAGCAAGAGGTAGATGCCTGCAACAAATGTTTACAAAAAGTGAACACAGGGAGGGAAGTTGTGGGGGGGGTTGGCAGGGTTATTTTTGTTTTTGTTTTGGTAGAGATGACCACTCCTTTTTTTTTTTGTGAGTTGGAGTCTCCATCGCCCAGGCTGGAGTGCAGTGGCACGCTCCCGACTACTGCAGCCTCGACCTGCTGGACTCCAGCAATCCCTCCACCTCAGCCTTCCAAGTCTACTGCTGGAACTACCAGCACATGCTACCACACCGGCTAATTTTTTATTTATTTATTTATTTATTATTATTATTTTTTTGAGTTGGAGTCTCTGTCACCCAGACTGGAGTGCAGTGGCCGCTCCCGGCCACCGCAGCCTCAACCT